AACAGACCTGCCTCACACTCACTATATTGATCCCTGCACATTCAGGGTTGGGGAGCACTGTGTCTTATTATACATGTCTGAGAAATATTTAACAGGAGCAGTTCATTAAAGGAGAAGAAGTCAATAGTAGAGTATATCTTGAGGGCTGGAGACACGGCTCAGCAGCCAAGAGTTCTTGCTGCTATTCCAACAAACTCAGGTTTAATTTCTTGTACCCACATAGTGGCTCACCCTCTGTAACCGCAGTCCCCAGGGGATCCAGCACCTTCTTCTGGCCACTGTAGGCACTGCATGCACATGGTACATAGCCACAAGCAGACAAACCACACATGCGCACAAATAACAAAAATTTAAAAATAGAAACAGCCAGGAATAGTGGTATACTCCTTTTATCCCAGCACTCAAGAAGCAGAGGAAGGCGGATATCTGTGAGTTTGGGGCCAGCCTCGTCTATATAGTGTGTCCCAGACCAGCCAAGGCCATAATAGTGAGACCCTGCCTCAAAGAAACAAACAAACAAGAATAGTGTAACATTATTCCTGTTTGAATAACTTTTATTCTTGGTTTCATTTCATCAGGCGATGAAAATTTCCAAAGAGCTAATGAGAAAAAATGAGAAACAAAATCTCCATGCTGCTAATGCTGAAGAGAGCGCTGTGATCCAGGAAAGGCTGACATCAGAAGAATCCTCAAATGCACTCATGAACTTCATGTCCAGAAAAGCAAAGCTGTGAAGACCACCACAGCAGTTAGACCTCTCAGAGAAAGGATGTGCTGCAATTCTGGTTTGGGGTCCTTGAACTACACACACTTCACTGTGTCTTTTTCTTTACTAACATAGCAGTTATGGGAATGCTCCAGTCATGACAAATAAAAACTTGCATAAAACAAGCCTTAAGAGTTTCTGTAGGATATCTAGGAATAAACCTAACAAAGGAGGTCATGGACCTCTACAATGGGAAACTTTCAATGTCTGAACAAAGAAAAAGAGAAAAACACTAGAAAACGGAAGGTAACCTATGATCATGAATTGGTAGAATTAATATTTTAAAAATGACTATTCTACCAAAATCCATTTATAGATTCAATGTTATCCCAGTCAAAATCCCCATTAATTATTCATAGAATTAGAAAAGAAACTATTTTAAAATTCATATGGAGCCACAACTCAGTATAGCTAAAATGAGTCTGAGCAAAAAGAGAAATGCTATAGGAATTACTATTTCAGACCTCAAAATAGATCACAAAGCCAAAGGAATAAAAGCAATATGATGCCGGCACAAAAAGAACATGTATGCCAATAGAACAAAGTCAAAGATCTAAACATGAGGATAGATAATGTTAGCCATCTATTCTTTGAAAAAGGTGCCAACAATATATTCTGGAGAAAAGACAGCATCTTCAACAAACGGTGTTGGAAAAACTGAATGTCCACTTGTAGAAGAAAGAAATTAGACCTGTACCCATCACTTTGCACAAAAGCTAACTCCAAATGGACCAAAGACTTAAATGTGGGACCTGAAACACTGAAACCACTAGAAGAAAACGTAAGCCGTGCCATACAAGATATAAGTGTAGCAAAGGACAGTTTAAATAGGACCCCATTTGCCCGGGAATTGAGGTCAACAATTGACAAGTGAGACCTCATAAATCTAGTTCAAACAGTCTGGAAATCAGTGTGGAGAGCCCTCAAAAGGCTAAAAATAAATCTACCATATGACTCAGCTTTACCATTCCTCAGTGTATGCCCAAAGGACTCAACATCCTACTCCACAGATACTCAGCCATGTTTATGGCTGCTCTGTTCACAATGTCTAGGAAATGGGAACAACTTGTCTTAGGTACTTTTCAGTTACTAGGAAGAGACACCATGACTAGGACAACTTACAAAAGAGTTTAATTGGGGGCTTGCTTACAGTTTCAGAGGGTGGGTCAATGATCATCATGGTGGGTCGCATGACAACAGACAGGCTGGCAGTACGCTGTAGATGTAGCTAAGAGGCTATATCTTGATCTGCAAGTTGGAGAGGTGGCGGGAAGAGAGAGAATGGACCTGTCATGGGCATTTGAAATCTCAAAGCCCATCCTCCAACCAGGCCACACTTCCTAATCTTCCAAAACAGTTCTACCAAATGTGAACCAGTTATTCAAGTATATGAGCCCTTGGGAGCTATTCTTATTGAAGTCACAAACCAATCTAAATGCCTGTTAACTAGCAGTGGATAATGAAAATGTGGTACACACACACTATGGAATACTACTCATCCATAAGGAAAAAAAATGAAACCATGAACTTTTTAGACAAATTAATGGAACTAGAAAAGGTCATTTAGTGAGGTAAAAACAGACCTAGAGAGACAAACATCTTATGTTCTCTCTAATATGTAGTTCCTAGCTCCAAGTCTTCAGCTGTGAGTATACAGCCTAGAGTAACCATAGAAACCAGGAGAGTAAAAGGGGACCACTGGGGGAACAATAGGAACATATTAGGGTACAAGTGATTTGAATAGGGGAATGAAAAGACAGGAGTCTTTAATTAGGGAGGGGGAGGAAAATAAATACCAAAGAAGGAGAGAAGAGTAAAATAACAAAGGATGTCTGAAAAAGTCATAAGGAATCATACTATTATGTGGCTACCTAAAAATACCTATAATACACGTAAGTCTAGGTATAGATACATAGTTTAAATGAAATTTTCCCAATTGAGCTGGCAATGCATACTCCACCAAAGAGTCATAAACTATTTAACAAACCCCCCAAAAGCAAGCATGAGGAACCTCCTTTTGAGATGTCCAAGAGACTCACAAAACATTATACACTATTGCGGTTGCCCTCGGTAGTTTCCCAGAAGTGGAGGGTGAGTCCCTATTGATGAAGACATGCACTTCAGACACAGGGCACAGAGGATGCAAGCTGCATGTGACCTGAAGGCTGCCTCCCTTGAGGACCAGCTATCATGGTACCAAAAGGTGCCATGAAAGCTTCCAAGAGAGGTGAGCAAACAGTATTCCCACCCAGCTGTGATACCTGTGAACCATAATAATGACTGGCATGGCATGATAACCCTAAAAGTACAGTAGTTGTAGAGATACCTGGCAGTAATTAACAGCTCTCTGATTGGACTTAGGGTCCATTCAAACAAGAGAAAAAAACATGCCTGGTACTGGAAACCTAGCCATCTACCCAGGGCTAGTGCAGTCATAGACATTGAAGGTGACTATGAACCTACAACGGCCAACTTACTAACCAATATAACTCCTGAGAACATCCTAAATATTTACCCTTACACTCATCGATATGTGGAGTTCTCACCCCTCATCAAAGAAAGTTGTCTTTGCAACAGACAGCACCACAGAAAATCGCCACTGATCAAAATGCAGAGAACAAGAGGTCATGTGGTACTCAGTAGGTAATACTCCCCATTGCTGACATGAGCATCCACAAAACAATTCCTGTACTTCAAGCTCAGGGAGAGTTGCAGAAGAGGGGGTGGAAGGATTGTAAAAGGCAGAAGAAAAGGAAGTTTGTTGTGAGATTGTGCCTCCTAGAATTGTCAGAGAGGCTACACCCAGGAAGTCTCATCAGCCAGGCTGCCTAAACGAGACATGAACACCAATGGACATGCTAAGGTAGAAGGGGAAAAGCTTATGGAGCCTCATCCCTGGATAGGACTATAGGGAGCTGGGGAGTGTTGAGAGTGGGAGAAGAAATGGTCCTCCCTTTCCAATTGGCTATCCATTGTCAAGTGGTCAGCCCTGATATCATACACATACGGGTAACATAATACAGACTGAGCAGGTGGTATTTATACATTCACACACATACACACTCTCTCTCCTCTCTCCTCTCTCTCTCTCTCTCTCTCTCTCTCTCTCTCTCTCTCTCAGAGTGTGTGTGTGTGTGTGAGAGAGAACAAGTAAAGAAAGAAGTCACAAATTTGAGAGACATGAGGAGCAGTGCGAGGCAGGGATTGAATGGAGAAAAGGGGGGAAATTATGTAATTATAATTTCAAAACATTTTTAAATTATTTTAAAATTAAATCATGTTTTTGGCAGTAGAAAGTCTTACCCTTTTTGACATGAATCGATGCTGCCATGAGCACTGGAACATCGTGCCTGCGGATATTTTCTGAAAAGCACTCACAGCCTTGCAAGCCGAGGTCGTATCTTTGTACACCACGACAGCACTTTGTCGTCCACAAGGAGTGACTGAGATAATTGGGCCTAGTGCAGACAGTCTTTGCATCACCGACTTGAGGTCCTCTGAGGGTTGCAAGTTCTTTTTTGCCCACCTGACAAGGAGAAAAATGTGAGGAAAACAAATAAGAATATTCATTGTCACTTCTCCAACACATACCTACACAAGACGGGACAACAAGGGGACAGTGGGTCATTTCACTGGAAAAGCAATGTTCCTCGTTGGCTTTACAATCCTCATTCTTTAGTATGGTGTTTTGTGAGGCACCTGTAAGCTGCCTAACCTTCTAACTTGGCAAGGCCTTTGATGAGCTATGTGAAGCCCACAAAATTGGCATGGAGTATTTTGCTTTTTAAAATATTTCTGATGGAGACCATTACAGAAAATTACAACTGATAAAAAATGCAGTGTTGTGGGACACAGTCCCAATGGATAGGTCTACAATACAACTCCTGCACCTAAGGCTCAAGGTCATTTCGGAAGAGGGGGCAGAAAGATTGTAAGAACCAGAGAATCAGGAAATTTGCTATGAGGTTGTCTCTCCTTAAAATGTCAGAAGATACATACACCCATGAAGTTTCACCAATGTGTCTGCCTAAACATCTGAACAGGGACACCACCATAGACATGCTAACGTGGAAGGGGAGAGCTCAGGAGATCTCAACCCTGGACAATTACTACAGGAACCAGGAATGTCAAACACACAGGGTTGCCTTTTCAAAGGGAGATGTGTATGATCTGTTTTTTGCCCAGAGCCTGGGAGTTGACATATCTAATGCCTGGTGACCCTTGTGATATCCTGTGGCCTAGGCCACACCAGAGCCTCCCTAGACTTTTACCTTGAGCCTGATTGTCTCAGTCAGTTTATAGAACTTACCTTTATGGAAGACTTCATTTGTGCTTTACAAAGAGTTTCTAGGCAGTCATGGCTTAAGCTTTGTTGTGCACACAGGATTGCAATAATTATCCCTGGAAAATGTTTTTCCATATTGTGCTATGCTTAAATATGCCTAAAATAAACTATGTGGCATCAGGCTCCTGAAGTTTGACCCAACACCCGCTACTTAGCCATGTCGCACCGAACTGTCTCCCCACCTCCTCTTGACTCTTCACCCGGGGCCTGTTGCTCTTTGTGTGTGTGTGTGTGTGTGTGTGTGTGTGTGTGTGTGTGTGTGTGTGTGTGTGTACTGCTTCTTTGCAGTGTGTTCTGACCTATTCTATAGCTTTTCTCTGAATAAAATTTATGTGAGCCAAGAACTTAGGAACACATGACCCAGACCTCAATTCCTGTAACAGTCTACCAGGGCTTTAGCTACTCCTCATCCCAGCATCGTACCTGGGAACTATTTACAGTGAGGTAAAGACAGCATGGGAACAAATTCTTGCCTTCTTTATTTAAGCAATGCTCAGTTCCCACTCATTAGACAATTCTGCTTAATCTATTAATTTCCATGGTGAGACCATTCTTCTTAGATTATAAAATTAACTCCACTTAAGCACAGTTGTAATTATACAAATGCTGAGTTTATAGACTGGGATAGGGTTTCCTATAGAAATAGAGAATGGCATCCATCTATATCTGTATCTAGTACCTGTACATGGATACATACACACAGTCATTAATTAATAACAGTCCATCATGGTATTGTTGATGCTAGTACATCAGGTACAATGATGCTAGATCACTATGGAGCTGAAAAGTTCCTAGTGAGACTTTTTTTTAATTAATTAATTTTTTATTTTATGATTTAATTTAATTTTACATATCAGCCAGGGATTCCCCTGTCCTCCCTCCTCCCACCCTCCCTGCCCTCTTCCTAACCCACCCCCCATTCCCATCTCCCCAGGGCAAGGACTCCCCTGAGGATTCAGCTCGGCCTGGTAGAGTCAGTCGAGGCAGGTCCAGTCCCCTCCTCCCTTCACCCAGGCTGAGCAAAGTGTCCCTGCACAGGCCCCAGGTACCAAACAGCCAGCTCATACACTAAGGACAGGTCCCAGTCCCACTGCCTGGGGGCCTCCCAAACAGTTCAAGTTAATCAACTGTCTCACTTATCCAGAAGACTACTGGCAATGTTCGAGAGAAAGCCCGAACTGACCTACACTTGTGATTGGATGGCCAAACACCCTAATTGTCATGCTAGAACTCTCATCCAATGACTGATGGAAGCAGATCCATGGCCAGGCCCCAGGTGGAGCTCCGGGAGTCCAATCGGTGAGAAAGAGGAGGGATTGTATGATCGAGAATTACTGAGACCATGATTGGAAAAAGCACAGGGACAAATGGCCAAACTAGTGGAGATTTTTTTTTTAACCATTCTAAAGTTGTAATGAAAAGCACCATGAGTTTGTGTTAAGGTGTCAACAAGCCTACTCTGTAACCAGTGATACATAGCACAAAAAATTATGTGCAGTACATAAAATCTCACAATGATACGTTGTTAGTTTATGTATTTACAATACTATTATCATTATGCTGGAGTGTACTTCTACTTACTAAAAAGCATTATTGTAGATCTGCTGCTATGTAACACCAGTAGCAGCCTCATAATATTGTGTTTACCACGTCTTTCTGGGTAGGGTGCTTAATTAATTGCATACTAAGTATAGTACCTACTTTGTGGTATTTTCATATGAGCATATAATCACTTTGATCATGTTCACTTTCTTTTTGTCTTTTGAGACAGGCTCTCACTATGTAACCCTGACTTCCCTGGAACTTGCTATGTAGACCAAGCTGTCCTCAAACTCACAGAGATTCACCTGTCTCTGTCTCCCAAGTAATGGGAATAAAGATGTGCGCCACCACACCTGGCAATATTCACCTCCTATATGTCTTTTTTTTTTTTAATCCCTTGCCTTAGATTCTTTTATAATCATTATAGTCCCCCTTTTACTTTTGCACCTCTTCCTGGCCTATTTCACATGTACAAGAAAATATGTATGCTGGTTAGTTTTATTGTCAACTCAACTTGACACAACTTAGAATCACCTGGGAAGAGAGAACCTCAATCACCTAGATCAGACTGGCCTGTGGGCATGCCTATGGGTCGTTGTCTTATTATTGATGTAGGAGGGTACAGGCCACTGTGGGCAGCATCATTCCTTAGGCTGATAGACCTGGTCTTTATAAGAATGATCCCTAAATATGAGCCTGAGAGGGAGCAAACCAGAGATCAAAACAGCAAGCTGCATATCTCTATAATTTTTGTCTCTAGATTTCTGCCTTGAATTCCTGCCTGACCTCACTCAGTGATTGATAATGACCTGGAAGTATAAGTCAAATAAACCCTTCCCTTTCCAAGTTGCTTGTTGTCAGAATGTTTTATCACAGCAACAAAACAACATAAAATTCATGTGTTTTGGCATCTGGCTTATATTGCTTAATATGATGATCCCCAGTTCCATTTACATAACTGCAGACAACATAATTTCAACCTTTACAACTGAGTAAAAGTCTATTGTATATATTCAACACACTTTCACACTTTCATCCATGGGTGGGCCCCTGGCCACTATGAATCATTCTATGATAAACATGAGTGTGTAGTAGACACTTGTATGCAGACTGTGATTCATTTGCTACCATCTCTTTGATTGCATCAAGCGGCCACATCCAGAGGTTGACACACCATCTAGCTTTGTATAACTGTGGTATTTGCACAATAACGAGATCGATTACCTGCGACCCACTGCATTTCTCAGAATGTATCCAGAGGGTTTAGCAGCAAGTGACCATAAATGAGAATGGAATTGGTTTGTGAGATTATTGGGACTGACATGGGGTGTTATTGAGCATGCTAGAAAATCCAGTGGGAGTGTGCCTTGCAGTCAAGAAACCAAAGGTTAACGAGGCTGGAACTCCTCACCCTTTATGGAATCTTCGCCTTTTCTATTCATGTTTTAAACTGACTGGATGACGGAAGGCCATCTATCTGTTTTACTCAGAGACAACTGACCGAAATGTAAATCTCATCTGAAAAATATCATCATAGCAACACCTGGACAGGTGTTCAGACGACTGGTACCATGGACCCGCCAAGCTGATGTGTGTATTTAGTCATCCCGTAACCTGGCTACAGTACCTATAGTCTCCCTTGGGATGCTGAGAAAGGAGCATTGTTGAGGCCAGGAGTTTGAGGCTAGCCTGGGCAGCATAGTAAGACTGTATCTCAAATAACTAATAACCAGCAGGTAGCCTGAAAGTGAGGTCTCTGTGTCGACGAACTCGGGGACCTTGATGAATCAACATTGATGAATGGAGTAGATGGTAAATGCAACCTGTTCAGGTTTGACCCTAATCCTGGCTCTACTATATCAGCAGAGTTGTTGGAAGACACTCTCCTGGACCCGGGGTTCTGCCAAGAGCTTTCACTGCTCTGAGTGGCCTACGGGTCCTGCCTCATTTGGAGGGATAACCACTGAAAAAGAGAAGTAAAGAGACATGGGAGCCTTTCATTTGACTACACTTCATCACTTTCATTTTTTATTTGTCTTGAGTCCATTTGTAGTAAAAACATAAATACTTTTCTTGAATGCCCACCCAGCAACCAGGTAGAGAGCATAGATTGGTGTGGAAAACAATCATGTCCTTACAGTACAACACAGTAAATATGACATGTGGATGGGGTGCCCACGGCCTTTCTGGGCATGGAAGTTTAACTACAAATGTCTACAGCAGAGGCGGAGCAGAATCAATCCTACTGACTGCTACCAGGCTCCTGTCTCTGCTTATTACTGTGTTGTTTTAATAAAATAAAAAAAAAATACTTCGGAATCTATACTAAAGTCCCTGTGTGGATCATTCAGCCATCTTCTGTTCAAGACTGCTTTGCCACACTTCCCAACAGAAAAAGAAAAATGAGCCCCAGAGCCCATGAATATGATATATTGAGCCAATGAATGCAGTTTACAATTATAATTTGCATGCAGTTTCCAGAAAGGATTTATAATATTATAAAAAGTGGGGTCTGGCATCCTGCCAAGTTCTCCAACAGGGATAATACACCACCATCTGTGACTCTAGATGCTTGGAAAATCTGTTTTTCAGCATGATATGGCTTTGGGAACTACTGATTTATTTACAGAACAGAATGGAAGAATTTTTGTCAAAAGCCAATGTGATGTAGCATCTGACCCCGTGACAATCATCGCTGTGTGCTATGGCTTGACTGTGTTCCCCAGAAATTCATAAATTAGAGCCTTGATTCTCCATGCCATGGTGGTGGGGGCTTCAATAAGAGGGATGAATAACCATCTGGTGGGACTATGTTAACTCTCATTCTAACAGGATGAAATTAGTTTCATTACAGGTTGGGAAGATGTCTCCATCATAAAGCCTTTGCTGTGCAAGCATGGAGACCCAAGTTCAATCCCTAGCACCCACATAAAAGCTGAGTGTAGCAAACATGTATAATCCCAGTGCTGGGGAGGTGGAGACAGGTCCCTGGACTCACTGGCCAGCCGGTCTAGTTAATGTAGTGAGTTACAGGTTTATGAGAGACTCTATATTAAATGTAAGCCACACACAGGAACACACACACAAATAGGAGCTTGTTTCAAAGAAAGACTACCCACCCTGCTTGCTCTCTCCCTCTCTTCCATACTTGCCCTTCCAACATTTGCCGTGCTTTAAAGCAATGCCGGGCCCTTACCGGAAGTAAGGGTCTTATCTTGGACTTTCTATCATCTAGAACCATGAGCCTAAGTGGAGTTCTTTTCTTTATAAGTTACCCAATCTCAAGTACTCTGCAATAGCAATAGAAAATGGATTAAGTGCTGTGGGATGGTCTGTATGTTAAGTTGCTCTGATTGGTCAATAAATAAAACACTGATTGGCCAGTGGCCAGGCAGGAAGTATAGGCAGGACTAACAGAGAGAAGAATTGGAACAGGAAGACAGAGGGAGACACTGCCAGCTGCCACCAGGACGAGCCACATGTGAAGACACCGGTAAGCCACGAGCCAAGTGGCAAGGTATAGATTTATAGAAATGGATTAATTTAAGCTATAAGAACAGTTAGCAAGAAGCCTGCCATGGCCATACAGTTTGTAAGCAATATAAGTCTCTGTGTTTACTTGGTTGGGTCTGAGCAGCTGTGGGACTGGCGGGTGACAGAGATTTGTCCTGACTGTGGGCAAGGCAGGAAAACTAGCTACAATTAAGTCCTTGTTAGGGAAAGGTCTTGCCCTCTCTGTGCAAGTGAGATACAGATTCTAAACACTAAACACATTTGCCAGTGTTAAGTTCAAGGTTCCCATAGTTGGCTCAATCTAAAATTTACACACATTAAAGTACACATTCTCACTGTAAGTTATACCTGCCATTTTTTCCCAGCATAGGGCCACCACATGAGATCTTACCAATCTCATTTTACAGATGAGCAAGGGCAGGAGAAGCAACAGTGCTACAGGCAACTTTTAGACAAGGATGTTGTTCTTCTCGATAATATTCTTCAGGGGCATCTAGGCTTGCCTTCAAGAACAGGTACTCTCAGGGGCACCAGTTCAGTCACAAGAGAGTAAGAATGATAGAGTTGTCAAGTGTCTAGACGGTCATGTTACTAGAGATAGGGTAAGAATCACGGGCAATACAGCAGATTCCCTCTGGCATCCAGAGTCACGGCAGCCAGAAAATGATTCAGGATTGAATCCTTGTGAAGCAGCCCCCACCGCTTGGGAGGCTTTCTTGGATCCCTTGTAAGTTAATTTGCATCCCAAACAGGTTCTTTTTCTACTTCTCCCGATGCTACCCTCTCATCCCCTTTGATGAATGCTACCCTCAGGCCCCTTTTATGTACCCCATCACCAGCCAGGTTCTGTTTTGACTTCTCCCAATGCTACCCTCAGGCCCCCTTTGAAGTTTCCTGTCACCAGCTGATCTTCCGTGCTCTTATATCTGTATGAGCTTCTCAGAGACCCTAAACAAACAAACCAAACCTACAAATGAACAAAACAGACTGCACTGTTACGGAGAGCAGATGTATGTTTGTAGAAGGAAATGTGTGTGAGGATAGATGTCCACCCTTGGTGCTGGTATTCAAGCTGTATTTTCATAGGCCATGCTAGGATGTTAAATAAGATAGGTCAGTCCATCTGAAGGCATCATACCCCAAACAGCCTTCTATGATGTGGAAATCTGATTTAAAAAATAGGCCTCCAAACACAGTCACGTAATCTTAATTTGAATATCTTAAAATAACTTTTACCCTTTAAACATTCAGTGTCGCTGGGCCACGGCGGTGCATGCCAGGTGGATCTCTGTGAGTTCAAGGCCAGCCTGGGCTACAGAGTGAGTTCCAGGAAAGGTGCAAAGCTACACAGAGAAACCCTGTCTCAAAAAACCAAAATAAAATAAAATAAAATAAAAATTCAGTGTCACTTCATTATCCTGAAAATGCCATGGTTCTAATGACTGCTGTCCCCTTATAACATAACTTTGCTTTCTTTAGCTATGGGGCTTTTTTGTTGTTGTTGTTGAGATTATAATTTAATTAATTACATTATTTCTCTCTTGCTTTTCCTTCCTCCAAACCCTCCTAGCCACCTCTTCCCACTCTCCTTTAAACTCACGACCTCTTTTTTCACTAATTGTCATCGCATACATATATGTAAATGTATGTACATATATATTTCTCAATGTAACCTGCTCCGTCTGTATAATGTTACTTGTATGTCTGTCTTCAGGACTGACCATTTGGCATTGGACAACCAATTGGTGGGCTCTTCCCTGGAGAAGGCCACCTCTCCCGCTCCCAGCTTCCCTCAGTTGTCTATAATTCTTTGCATAGGGTTGAGGCCTTGTATGCTTTTCTCTGTCCACTTTGGCATGTCCATTTAGGTCATCCTTATTCAGCTCACATTTGGACAGCCATGCTGGTGAGACTTTATGGGGATAGCTTCTGATATTACTAGGAGACACAATTTCACAAGCTATGGGTTTTAAAACCCAGCTGGCAAGGTCTGACACTGGAGACACTAGGGGAGGGGTAGACGAGGAGATTGTTAACTAGGATGATGAGCCCAGAGGAAGTTTGTAGTACAGGCAACTTCATGAGCTAGACCTCTGTATGTTATCATCTTAAGATCAGAGAGGGCTCTGCTTTTATCCTGTCAACCCGCTAACACTCTTTGAATATCTACAATGTGCAAAGCATGGGTGTCATCTTGTAGTACAGTCAGCGATAGGAAAGCAGCAAATGGGAACATGCCATCTGACACGCACAGGGAAATGTACAGAATAAGGTAGCTTGCTGAGCAACCAAAGCTTCAGACTTGGAGCACCCCATCCCCTTTCTCAGCTAGCCTGAGGCCAGCTATTCCTCACTTGTGTGCACTACAAAAGCTCCCCAGCAGGTCTCCCGCTGCTCCCTCTTTCCATGAAGACCAGAGAGGACCAGAGAGGACTTGAATCTATTTTGTCCACCCTTGCAATGGCTCTCTCTTCCTTTCTCAGCGTAAAAATCTGGCAGACTAGGGATAAAGCCAAAGTCCTTGCTCGTGCTAATGATGGTGCTTAGTGGATGGGTCCTTCTCCAGCAATCCCTGCAGTGCTGTGGATATCGCTCTATATAACTAAAACACTGGCCAGTGACCAGGCAGGAAGTATAGGCGGGACAAGGAGAGAGGAGAATTGAGGGAACAGGAAGAAGGAGGGGGAGACACTGCAAGCCACCGCCAGGACAAGCAGCATGTAAAGATGCCGGTAAGCCACAAGCCACGTGGCAAGGTATAGATTTATAGAAATGGGTTAATTTAAGATATAAGAACAGTTGGCAAGAAGCCTGCCACGGCCATACAGTTTATAAGTAATATAAGCATCTGAGTGATTATTTTATACGTGGATTGTGGGACTGTGGGACTTGGTGGAACCTGGAGAGAAGCCCTCCAGCAACACTGCAGATCTTTGCTCATTAGAGTAGAAGGCGGTAGGTAGAGGTGACACACCACCCTTCCCGTCTCCATAAATTTTCTTGCACTGAAGGCTTCTTCAGTTACTTGGGGTGTGTGAAGTAAAGGCTGTGTGCTCTTATACAAGGCAAGGCCTGTTTCCATGTCCTCCATGTTTCACAAAGACCACATTAAATCATCGTTTTTTTTGCCGGGGTGGGGACAGGGGAGCGGAAGGGGCGGTGTGGTGAAGAGTTTCTGTTTGTGACCATTCTGTGTTTCTTTAACATGAGCATGAGACGAAAAGTCCAAGAACCTACCTAACAATGATCGTGCACATGGGCGGCTCATATGTGTTTTTCTTCCACATGTGACATTTCCTCCAGTTGCCGCTTATATTGTTGATAGTTTTTCTTTTCCATGAGGGCATTTTGCTGGGCTTTGGAGTCAGACTAACCTCTTTCGGCAACTGGTGTCTTGCTAAGATCTTTTCCAAGCCCGAGAATTCGGAATTCTCACCTGGTGGAATAATAAGTATTAACATAATTCAGTGTTCATTTCCAACCTCTGCATAGCAAGATTCTTTCCAGTCTTTGTGCATGTACCTGGTGCTGAGGATGGAACCCTTCACGTGTGTTAGGTATACCGCCCAACTGTGTTTGTGCAATCTAGTAAATCCTTCTCAGCCCTGCCGTCCCTTTCTCTAAGCAATACTTCTTAAATCTTAGTCTAAGGGATGCACTGGCTATAAATGCATGCATTAAGTGTGCTAAGACCACTGTAAATATTGTTGGTTCCTTATGTAAAGTTTGTAAACTAATAATAAGTTAAAATACAATTATTATTTTAATTATGCATTTTTAAACTTCTCAGAGGAAATGGAATGAGTAGAGATTAATGTCTTGCTCTTAATTTGGAACGCCATCTTCCTGATACTTTGCCTAAGAACTATTCTGCATTTGGAGATCGAACAACTGAGACTTCTGATTTGGACCTTTGTCTCTAACTGCTGGAACTCTCTTAGTGGTCAGCAGCAGGCAGGATGTTCGAATGAGGATGAGGCGATTCCAGAGGTTCACAGCCTGTTATCAGAACTGACAGACACACACAACTGAAGAAGGAAGGATTATTTTGGCACATGGTTTAGAGGGTTCGACATGATCACTTGATCCCACAAGCTTGGGCAGAATATCATGACTGTAGGAACAAGTGACATAAGAGAACTGTCCCCTTCATTGCTAACCAGGAACCAAAAAGCACAACAGAAAGTTGCCAGTAATAATGTGTCCCCAAGTAACCTACTTCTTCCAATTTGATTCCACTTGCTAAGTCTCTGGAGTCACTCAAAATAGTACCACCATCTGGGGCCAAGCATTCAAATCATCAACCTGCGGAGGACTTTAAATCCACAGACTATAATATACAGAAAAATCCAGAACCTCTTACATATGTCCGCCTTTCACGTTAGCAGTTCCTCTTTACCCAAGGGAAGAGCTGAGATAGAGACAGAAACTCAGCACACCACCACGTCTTCCCCTGGCTTCTCAGTCTCAACACACCAGAGCAGAGTGGGGCGGGAAGAATTTCAACATGCTGAGAGCGACTTTAGAGTGCTGATATTAGAATTGATATTTCATTCGCAGTACAACTCCCCAAAGCTAGGCAATTTGCTTGTAATTCACCTAAAGTCAGCAACAAAAGTCAATAAAACAGATCAAAAGGAAGGGCTAAGGCGGGGGCAGAGTGACAGAGTAGCTGGTTTGTGCAGTTTTGTACAGAGCTACTTAAATTCTGTGTGTGCTCACGATGTAATACATACTGTAACCTGGATGTATGGGTTTGATCATAACACTCTGCATTAGGAAGCGGAGATGAACTTGACTATAACCAACTTTGTCCCGACAGTTTAAAAGTCTTTGTGCCAGTTGCCACCTTTGTTTTAACTGGTGTGGAAGCTTCAATTTTGTCTTCTAAGTTTATGGGTACAGGTGGCTGCCATCTACCAGTATCTTGCAGTTAATCCCAAATAATTCAAGGCTGGGGTCCATTAAGTTCACAAATCAAGTTCTCCACCATCCTGACCCAATTTTAGGACCACCAGACCACTCCAAACTGCAAAAACTAGCGACTACTCGCTATAAGGAATGGCACATGCCTATGGTCTCAGCTACCCAGGAGACTGAAACAAGAAGATGGCTTGAGCCCAGAAATTTCAGACCAGTTTGGGCAACCTATCAAGACTCCATCTCAAAATCGTAATACTAACCACTAAAAAAATATTTAAAAATTACTTTCAGGGGAAATAACCAAGTTCTTCCTAGCAGAAGGAGAAGGGAGCAGTAGAGAGTCAAAAGGAGTGAAGTTTCTAATCTGACCCTCACCTTGAAAGTTCTCCCACTGATCTCAAAATCAAAGATTACATCTTAATTTGTAACTTGTGTACATTTGTACATGGCTCGTTTCCATCTTTCCATGGGTGTGTTATGCCTAGAGATGAGTGATACCTTACCTTGGCTCATGAAAGACTACACAAAAAAAAAGAGATAATGACCTCTCCCCATGGGCAAATTCACAGTCCATTCTGAGAACGCAGACCTATGGAGCCACGATGTGGCATGGGTCTCATGAACTGACGTCACGGGCAGTGTGACGAAGTTGATGCCCACAGCTGAAAGAAGAGGCTCACACCAGCATGAAAGCACAAACATTCTCCTCCGCCCTCCACCCACTTACATTTAATTTTGTCGTCTTCACTTCTGTAGGAATGAAGCACTTCCACCAGATGGTTTGGGAGCAACTTGTGAAGGTTAGAGAGGAGGTCAAACGTGTGACACAGGACGTCAGGCTGGGTATAATTTTTCATCTCCTCAAAGAGGTTTATGGCTGATGGACTGTTGTTGGCTGTTCCCATGATGGCTTGCTTGTTAAGTTACAGAGAAAAGCAAATAGAGCATATGAAACGTACCAGCGTGTCGCGCGCGACTGTACCTGCCTCAGTTTGCTGCCATCTCCGGGAGGAGATGGTGGAACCCGCTTTCTGGCCCCTGCTTTGCATTCTGAGTGTCATAATGGCCCAGGTTATTGGCCTGGAACCCTCAGAGCTTGTTCTGCATCTTCAAAGCAGAGAAAAGCCGCCCATGGAAGGTATCCTGTCAAATAATTCAGAGATTTTCCACAGAAATTCCAGTTTCCTGTCGGGATATGGATGAGTTCTGAGGAGAAAAAGCGAGTTTTTCCTAAAAGAAAATCAATTGATGTGCACATAGACCCCGCTGTCTCACCATTCTAGAGGCCTTGTACCTGGTGTGTGCATAATTAAGACTCCATAGACCTAGGAGATCCCAAAGAGAGTGTTACATCAGCACTGCCCCTGTAGACACGAGGAAGAACTCTATGGTCCTAAACTAAGGAGATGTCCAGATTAATACAGGTAAGGGGACTGTCTGCTTTTTACTCTTTTTTTCTCCAGATTGCCAAAGGAAACAAATAAAACCTCTTTAGTACTAGTTTTTCTCCACTGTAGACCAAGGAGCAGAGGAAAATACAAACACCAAATAACAATAAAGTCCCACACTTCATAGACCAGCTGGAGCAATTGAGAAGCAACCAAGAACCATCCTCAGTTTGCGATAAAATGCAAATAGCAACATGGTTAAACTGCCCCCTTGATTTTCAATCCAACAGCCAGTCAGGACACCAGGGTTCCCTTATTTCCAAAGCAGTGTCCCCAAGAGCAAAACAAAACAGAACACGTGGATTTCACTGGAAAAGCAGATGCATGTTCATATAGGGAAACACTTTAAGAATGGGCACATTCTTGAGCATGCTCTGTTTAAGGTTATAATCTAGGAAGGAAAGATGACAGGCACATTTGCTCAGTTCAAGGTTGTAGAACACATGCTTGAAAGGTTAAAATAGTGAACAGGAATGCATCTGGGCATGTTCACTTTGCCTCATAAAGTTTGGGCTGAAAATAAAGAAAACGGCATATTGAAGTTGTATTAAATATAGGAATTCATTCTTAAAGGTTGCCTGCCTTTAGTGACTAACAGTGCTTTGTTTATTTGTTTTTTTTTTTTTAGTCAGGGTTTAATTATGTAGCCTTGGCTGACCTGGAACTCCATATGTAGACCAGGAAGAATGGCCTCAAACTTGCAGAGGTCTGCTTGCCTCTTCCCCATGAGTACTAGGATTAAAGGTGTGCACAATTCTGCCTGACTGACAATATGCTCTGAGTTGTTACTCTAAGTAGCACTCGATGGAATGTTCATAGTTAACTGAAGCTACGGACATTGGCTGAAACCAGAAGTAGGTCATGATTGTTAAAAGTTATCCCTGAAAAAAAAATTGACTATTACCAAGAAGAGAAAACAGGAGCTGGAAAACTGACGATGTAGTTGAGAGCACGTCATTTGCTGCTTTTGCAGAGGACCCAGGTTTGGTTCTCAGCACTCACATGGCAGCTTACAACCATTTGTAATTCCCATTCTGGGAGTTCCAACACCCTTTTCGAGCTTCTGCAGGCACCAGGTACATGTGGTGAACATACATACATGCAGGCAAAACACTCATCCATATAAAATAATACAAATTTTAAAATAAAATAAAACTCTAATAACAGAAGACAATATAAAATGCTGACAAGGGGGCAGAGAGATGGGAACTTTAAAACCCCCTTTGTTAGTTAGTGAAAATGGAAATTAGGACAACAGCCATTGAGAAAAGCAGTGCTGGGTTCATCCAAAACTTTAAAAACAGAACTAGTGCAGAGTCAGCCATCCCACTTCTAGGTAACCCAAAGGAAATCAGATTCTTAGGTCAAAGAGACACCTGCCTACCTGTGTTCTTCAGAGCACTGCAACAAGAGCCAGCATGTGGGGACTAAGCCTAGCTCGCTGTCCATCAACAGATAAATGGATAAAGTGTTCATAGGCTGAGCCTGGTGGCCTTTAATCCCTGCGCTCAGGAAGCAGAGGCAGAGGCAGGCAGACCTCTGTGAGTTCAAGGCCAACCTAGTCTACAGCCTGTCAAAAAGGAAAAGGACTGTCCACATACACATTAGAATACAATTCCTTCCACTTTACTGTGAAACAAATCATCTAATGACGTTTTTCTCTTGGGCCCGGTTTTGATGTTTTTACAATATGAAGGACTTGTGGGAGCCATTGTCGTTTGCTTTGTTTCCAAGCATACTGTGGTGGAAAGAACTTGGGGCCGGGAGCTCGGTGAGGCAGGAAGACTGGCCATAGGAAGTTGACTACACCTGATGGTCTTGGTCCAAAGCTCCTAGGTAGGGCCCAGCCTGCAATTCAGAGTCTAGATGCAACAAACGCTTGTGTTTTTAGTCTTATTTCCAATCTTTTTCTCCAATGACCAATACCTTCTCAAACCATGTATTTGATGAGAGAATTCTGCTGTGCCCAGTACCCTTGCCTTGCTGCAGGAGAGGGTGAGTTGCTATGCCAGCCAAGTGGCTGCTTAGGCCCTGCCACCAGCCTTATTAACTAAATTGATCCCGCAGCGCAGCGCAGAGCAGCGCAGGGCAGGGCAGCACCCAGGGTTCTTGTTCTTCACTGACAGCTAGCTCTTAGGTAACAGGCACTTCCCTTTCTTTCTTGTTGTTGTTGCAAAGAGGGCTCCCGTGTCTCCGGAGCACCTTCCGCTGCCTGCAAGCTACAGCTGTGCGTCTGACAAGGCCAGCTGGCTCCCAGAAGGCAGAGTGTTCAGCAACGTCCAGAGAGAGAAGATCATCTCCAAGTTTCTCAAAGGAAGCCTCCTAAAGAGAGTGTTTGGCTCGCAGCAGCTGAGATGGGAGAGCCCCAACTCCCAGAAAGAGGATCCCAGCCCAGCATGTCCTAGCACCAGAAAGTAAGTCCGTATTGCAAAGTAGACCCAAACTCAAAATAAGCTCATCCCAGATGGCCAGGAAAACAGCTCTGTACCGGCATCCAGAGAACCAGAAGGCTTAGGAGGGACCGCAAACTCAGGGGCCAGGTCCAGCGCTAAGAGGAAAATTAAATAGGAAACACGTAACTGAGAACGTTTTCAAAGCACCACCTGTAACACCGGCATAGGATGTGGGATTCACTGATGCGTGTCCTTCTCTTGTTTGGGGAAATTTTTTTAAATACATCACTGCCATCCACGGTAGGAATAAGTAGATTTGAAACAGAATTCCTTGTGTTTTTTGGAATAAAATGGTAGCTTCACAAATAAGATAGTATTGTTAAGGAGACACACACACTACAGGTTAATGTTGTTTGTTTGTTTGTTTGTTTTTCCAAGACAGAGTCTCACTATGTGGCTCTGGCTGTTCTAGAACTCACTCTGTAGACCAGACTGACCTCCGACAACACAGATATCCACCTGCCTCTGCCTCCCAAGTGCTGGGATTAAAGGCATGCATCACTACTCCAGGCAAAGACTGAGTTTTAAAAATAAAACTTTAAAGTAGAAAATGAAAAAAGAAATCCTTCAAAGTAAAAACATTTTACTCATGTTTCTTTAAAAGTAATTATTCAAACACAAGAAAGCTAGGATACTCATGATTAATGATCATGAAAAAATAAAACCTTAAGTTGGAAAGAAGAGAATCAGCTACTAATGAAAGGTACAAATGGGGGAGAGGGATAAAATCAAGTTATTAATCTAAAGCATATGCTAAGTATCATCTGTCTACCAGTGAATGATTTGAGATGTTTTCCACTGATCGAATGTATGTATTTTTAAAGTATTTGTTCATATTTTTGTGTATGGGTGTTTTTCCTCCAAGCATGTCTGGGCATGCATGCCTGGTGCCAAAGAAGAGGGCATCAGATCCCCTGGGACCATAGTTACAGACAGTTGTGAGCTGTCACGTGGGTGCTGGGAATCAAACCTGGGTCCTCTAGAAAGGTAGCCAGTGCTTTTAACTGCTGAGCCATCTCTCTAACCCCTGATGGAGTATCTCATTTAAGTACCACAGAAAAGGCATTTTTTTTTTTTTTTCCGAGACAGGGTTTCTCTGTGTAGCTTTGTGCCTTTCCTGGAACTTGCTTTGGAGACCAGCCCGGCCTCGAACTCACAGAGATCCACCTGGCTCTGCCTCCCAAGTGCTGGGATTAAAGGCGTGCGCCACCACTGCCCGGCTCATATTGTTAATTAGAAAATGTTGACCAACTCTGTGAAAATGTTTACATAATCCTACTGAAGGAGATTCTGAGGTCATGCATCCCTGAAAGGTGAGTATTGAAATATGAAAGGCATTGAGAGATAGGCAGAAATGGAAGTCTTTTTCCCTGAAGAATAACTAAGAAATGATGTTCTTGGCATTTCTTTGCGTAACCCAGGGCAATAAAGAGACACGTAAGTTGAGGTGCTTTCCACAATAGTATCTTTCTGTCTTCATTGTCCTCTCTGCCACAAGAGGAGAAGCGAAGGTGGGCTCACTGAACCCTCTTAAGATCCTGGCCAAGGGAAGGTGGGCTCACTGAACCCTCTTAAGATC